ATACCCATTGACAGCAACTGAATCACTTAGTAAGGGACATTGGGAGACGACATTCGCTCCCAATCTGGACCCTGCCGATTCCCTTACGATTCCAGCGAAGTAATAATAAGCAATTGATTCGTAGCGTGATAATTTTGGGGCCTCCATCTCATTTCATCGGATGGAAAGAGGGACAGTACGCCACTGGCTTGTTTGGGACACATATAGTTGCTCTTCGAATACTTTGACTTTCTGCCGCATCCCCACTTGGACTTGGATATCCATGGTTGGGACGGAAAGGTTCGTGTCCGAAGATAGTAATAGGCAGTAGTCCGTCCGTCGAGATCGGCCCTACCATTCGCTTGATCTGCGGCGCACCACCATGACAGGTCCTTTCAACTCTTCTTGTTCTCAACCCCCTCGTGTGCTCCATGTTCTTTCATGTTGGCTATTGTCATATCCAAAAGAAGTTGACAATAAACAACATGCATGAAGATGTTATGAAACGTGCATGAGGCAAATAAAGAGGCACAGTAAGCATAGAGTAGATATTCTTAGGTACAATGCCGGATCCGGCAACTTTAGACATTATATCTCACAGTCTTAAGAACGCCCCTAATCTCGAGGTGAAACACGGTGTCTATGTCAGTTGGGATCCTAAGCGTCAGTCCCAGTCACCCGACCAAATGTCAAGGTCTCTGGGGCGTTTGAAACGCGAACCCGGGCCAGTCTGGACAGGGCCCCAAGAGGAGAGGCCCAAGTGAGAACTCTGACGGATTTGGAAAGGCTGGCTTCTTGGCGTAAATCAAGCAAGTAATTTTCCAGAAGAAGATCGAACCGGGGACGACTGTCCTGTGGTGGGGGGTTAGTTGTTGCTCAGATCCCTGGTGTTGATCCTTTGCTGTCATGTTGAAAATCTGCAGGTGACACCACGCTGCGAGGGAGAAGGTGCTAAGTCGGGTTACGCAACCCGTTTTGAGGCGATATGATGTTGTTTTTGTTAATGATAAAGCTCCCGTGGTTTCACTAAGAGGGTCTGCAATCGAGATGAGATAGACGAATTCAGTCTACAGCCCGGTCGAGATCGTAAATCAGTCCAAGCAGTTGTGCCCATTTTCGCGGATCGCTCGCATACACTAGAACTCACCGAGTGAGGCCACTTCGATAAGATAAGGTAATTCAACGTTTGTGTAGAAGCGAACGTAGCTTCCATTGGACTTCTATGGCTTCGTTGGACCAAATGATCACACCGAAGGAACAAAGAAATCAAACTCGAGCCCCTGCGGTTCCTGCGCAAGCCATCACCCTCCGCCGAAGTCAATCCTCCCGCTTGACGGCGGTAGATCATCGTAGGGCACCATGTAAGTTTGGTAACTCACGCCTCCCTCCAATCCAGCGACGACCGCCATAACAAGGATCAATTGAAGACAGACCCAGAAGTAGGCGGTCGGCATTAGTGCATTGGGGTCATCGGTGTTGTCAAAAATAGCGACCGGCACACAAGTTTGGGAAAGGTTCACGAGAACGAAAGAGAAGAGGGTGTGAAAACTAGTAGACGTTGTAATTGTGTGCGTTCCATCCCCAGACTTGCGTGATACTGTCCCACTATCAAGAGGTGACAACCTCGACGCACGTCCCCAACAGCTGCATGCGACAGTCGAGTCAAATCAATTGTAAATTAGTACGACACCTGTAAGACCCCCTTCGCCACTCGCATCTGATCGGCGAAGGTAACCTATAATTTTAGCTGTGAGAAGGATCAAAAGTAATCATGAGAGCTATAGTCATATCACTTGGTTGGTCCAACAACCAACATGTATGCTGTATGCTAGGAAACATGGGAAGCCTTCGCCCATGATCCCTGTCCTCACGTGACCAAAAAGTATCCAAAAGTCAGGAACGCCCATGGCGGTACTTTCCCCTATTTGTCTATGGTCGGAAAAGAAAATCTCATGAATTACCGGTAGGCAACCAACCAACTTCCACCTTTCACTGCCAAGGATACTATATACTAGTCCTAGCATGCATAGTACGGGGGGGGGTTTAGGGGCGCGGGGATATGCAGATGGATTTGGGCTGGTCGAAGCTGTCATTTCCCTTGGGTCTAGCCCCAGTGGGAATATCAGCCTGTCGATCGCAGATAAAAAGCTGCACTAATCTAGAAACAGCAGGATAGTTGTCCGCGCTAAGTGTAAGGCTTGTAAAAGTGAATTAATTATAGTGGGACGGTTGGCTGTGTCAGTGCGCTAGTGGCAGGCTCCCATGATCTACTCTCTGGTCGACCAGTCTGAACGGGTCGGATACTTCAACCCGACCAATGGTTGGACCAATAAACATGTAGTGGCGCTGTTGTATGTGATCATACTACGTCTTCCTAGTAGTAGTAATTTTCCAAGCCTGTACGTCAAGACTGGAAAGGTTCGAGGCTTCAATCCATTCCATATTCCTTCTACTGGAAGCTAATTAGTATACAACCAAAATTCTCGACAGCATGGGCAAACTTCCGAATAGGTAAGAAGTTAATTTAGGTTAAAGTGAGCTGAATCAGTGTCAGTAGTTCTAACCAAGGTCCCAATATCATCTTTTTTCTGCGAGCTGCCCGTTCCCAGATGGGAACTATAGAGCGAGAGTATTTGGAATAACCAACAACCGTTGATGCCTCAAGAAGATTTGACCAGATGCCTCCTTCTGTACACTGATCCATTTGATACCAGTGCGAGCGAAATGAGACATACGATAGGGAAATCGGTAAACCCCGTTTGGTCCCGTTTGGTACCACTTCAAACATGGAACTGCCAGCACCCGACCCGCTGATCCCAACAGATGCTTCCTCATCGAGCTCTGCCCGTGTCCACCGTCGATGCCATCCCTGTGATGGTAAGTCCGGTCTGGTAAAGTTCTTACTAGCGATGATCTACTGGTCCAAATGTGGAGAAAGCAGTACGGGATCACTCTCTGTGTACATATAGCGGGTACACACAACGTGCGGGAGGAATGATTAAGCAGGGTACCGTGGGTGCATTCGCACGATTTACTTCTCCACGAGTGTGCTTCCGATGGGTGAAGAGGTTGCTGTCACGTCTTCCTACTGTACATACTTTTTTCGGTGAATAGTCTCCCATGGAACTCCTATATCGGCCTTTGATATACCCCAGATGAAATTTTAATATGTCCTCTCTTCTGTCATCCAGACACAGAAAAGGAAGAGAGGCGAAATTGCTATACTGCAGAGATAGATGGTAGTTCCAGACTGGTCTGTCAGATTTTCAACTAGTGGAGAATCTGACAAGTGTGAAAATTAGACAACGGAGATGAACATGAAGAACGAATGAGTCAGGGAGATTCATTTCTCGCCTTCCTGATTTGGTGATGCTCCAGCGAGACCGGGGGATTCCAAATTGATCGACTTCCCGTGTCGCCATAAACATTCAATTATGATCAAATTAGTTTGTCACTCACACCTGACTGTTCCAAATTCTATATGCGGTGACAGGTCTACATTTCCGGCCAGGGCTGTAAGCCATCAGCCATAGCTCTGGGGATTTTACCGCTGCGTTGCGAACGGAGGTTGCTGATTCTGTATAGAGTCTTAGAAGATCTTACGACTGTGTGAAGGTAATGAATATCCTGATTCTCAAGGGCAAAAGGAGGATTTTTGTGCAACGATGCTTGGACGTTAGAGTGGCAGCGAACTCTATTGATCAACCCACCCTCATACAGCTACTACTAGTACTCTTATTATTACTATTATACTTATTATTATTATTATTAGGACTAAACCTCCGGACAGAAGATAGTGTGTTGTCTAGTTCTAAAACGGTTTCTCCTGGCTTGATCTCTTCACCCGCATCCGGTAAAAGAATATGCAACAACAGGAGGTTTTTTCTTCTCTTTCAACCATTGCAAGATCTCCGACACAATTTGATGGATGCTGAATTTGGCACAAAGGGAGCAAAGAGCAGGAGGAGCTATTTTGGAACCACTGGTGTATCTGGTTTGCAGACAGAGACAATATAAAGAAGGGGACTGTGTGAGAAATGTGCCCATAGAAAGGAACCATTCTATCTTGAGGGACCAACATGATAGGGTCCCCATCCAATAAGATTTCAATTAATAAATAAAGGGAAGGGAAAAGTGAAAGTGTGAGAAAATAAGAAAAAGACAGGGATAAAAAAGAAAAAGAGAGAGAGAAAAAAGCCCTCCCCAAATGTATCAACCAAATCACCTGCACCCATGTCTCCTCAGGTCCCGACATACTGGAACAAAGGCCTCACCGTCACCACTTAGTGCGCAATCTGGAGATTTTGGGAAGTGAGAAATAATAAAAATAATATTAATAAAAAAAATTCGAAAAATTAAACTAACACTTCCGCCGCCCACAGCGTACGTTACTATTCTGCGTCTTTTTTTGTGTGTGTGTGTGTGTATTTTATTTTTGATCTATTATTTTTATTATTATTATTATTCTCCTAATTTAGCTTGAGCCAGGGTTTCAGCCGCTATTCATGGCCTATGGTTAGCATCGACCACCATCCAGAACGGCTGTCTGCAACATCATGCGTCCCACTGATATCTTTCCCTTAACTTGCCGCTCTTGCCCCGTCCTATCCTTTACTTATATCGTGTGCTTTTCCTCTGCAGATCTCCATGCGATAAAGCAATCATTCAATCCACTCTTGCCCCGGTGGCTTCATTCTCCTCTCTTCACATTTCATCCACGAACCCTCTCTCAATCACTATCTTCCTTAATTCTATTCTTCTTTTGTTTTGGATTGTTCCCCTCCCCCCTCCCTTCTCCAGCTACCTCACTGAGTATTCGTTAAAAGGGCTGTTGGTCTCACTGTCTTGTCCTTTGCTTTCATACTCACTGAAATCTCCATTTCTGTCCATTGACCGACTGCCAAACGCCAGATATTCCTCGCAAGAGGGCTACAACTTCCTCTACATATTCACTCAATATCTTCTACCTTCGACTGCCTTTACATTCTTCTGCAGGAATTTGTTCCTTCATCTCCAATAATTTCCATTTACCCCGCTACTGATCTGGAGCACTGCTTCCGGGTTTGAGCGCAACAACGTCGGACAGACCAGAAAGAGATATCTGGTTCTGTCGTAATATTCCCCGTTGCAAAGTGGCTACATTGTTTTCCTGTCTTGCTTCCAAAAGTGCCACCTTACTCTCCACCATCAAACGCAATATAGGCGTAGCTACAGCGAGCATGGTTCGTGGCCAACTGCCCTCTCCGCCTCACTCAGACGGACATCCCACCCCTGAACCTCACCGGGAAAGCTGCGGGATCTTTCACCCGCTATACGCACACGACGACATACTAGGAGCCGGAACTACCATGGATCATACACAGCAGGCTGTGGTAAGTATTCAGTACTAGAATTACCACCTGTTGCACCACGCTGACCTCTGTCAGGCCTTCGAATCGTCAAATCACCCCCGGTATCTTTCCAACAACGGTTATTTACAACAGCCGGTAAGCACTTTCTTTTGCTGGAATTTCCCGGTAGCACTGTGTATCCATCTGTTCTCAGGCTAATCTCTTCTCAGATGGCGGCCCATAGCATTCAAGTCAACACACCACCATCAACCTCGGATGAGTGCATCGTCTCAGAGCGGACTTCATCTACATGGCCTCAGAGACCTGCCAATCGCGGAAAGGCAAAGAGTGCCAGAGGCAGCGGTGGTCGCAAACCCAAAACACTGCATGCCAGAGATGGCCCCTCGTTACCCGGCCCGTTGAGCGAGTTGACCAAGCACCTGACCCATGTCCCCATCAGGGACATGGAAGGTTGGGTACATCGACCTATCGAGGTCCGTCGCCAGGAAGTCGCCAAAAAGAACGGTAAAGTTGCCAGGCCTATGAATTCCTTTATGCTCTACCGGTCAGCATACACCGAGAGAACCAAGAAGTGGCTGGGGCAGAACAACCATCAAGTCGTGTCCGTGGCTGTGGGCCACAGCTGGAAGATGGAGCCACCAGAGATTCGCAATAAGTTTGAACTCCTAGCAAACATTGAAAAAAAGAACCATGTCAAGGCGCATCCCGGATACAGGTTTTCTCCAAAGAAGGACCATCGAAGAGGCGATGACCGTCGCAACAGTCGCCTGGATCACACACCTGATTCTAGTCCTGGCTTGGGGCAGACGCCCCGTACCATGAGCACATCAGAAATGGAAAGCGGATGGGGCAGCCGTGACTCAACCCCTCTTGGTTTTATGGAGCATGGCATGCCCGCTGGTTATCTCAGCTCTTCCTGGCAAACGACTAACCCCGGTAGGCCAGCCCCAGGCATGCTACCTCCCTCACCACCGGAGCCAACTCAGTACCTCCAGCAATCAATCCATCAGAGCCTCATGGGCTCCCATGTGGAAGATGTCCGCTTCAACAGAGTTGACATGCAGGATCTCCAGTATTCTTCTTCAACAGCTTTGGCTGGCCTACCAGGTGCTACTCACCATGAACTTCTTCAGCCTCAGACCTCTGTTCCTGCACCGGGAGCTGGTGCCGATGGTCAGCTAGATCCACAGCTGCTCGGCTTCCAGGGCAACCCGAACAATGGTGGAGGGAGTCAACCTTACGGCAATGCTCACTACCATCCCATCTGGCAAGACGCGCATGCAAGTAACAACTACGCTGCTGCCTCGTCGCTACCGCCGACCACGGTACCCTACGTAGCCGGGGCGGCTTTCACACCAGGTATGCAACCGATGGTGGATGGTCGCGATGCGTGGGAGTCAGGTCATGACGGGACCATGGACACCTCCGGTACGGAGTTTGAACATTGGATTAATCCTCAACCGGCAGCATTTTAGGAATAACGGAGATCTATTCCGAATCCCATGATGAACGTGATGAAAGCGACGAGCTCGACGAACTTCTTAATGGAGATGTGCGTCGTCTTTGTTCTCGGATTGGCTCCCTGTTTAAATTGAACATTTTGATGCTGGAGTTCCAAGGCGTACAGATCTAAATGACAGTGATATCCCTTCTGGAGGCGGTTTCTTTGTTTCTAATGTATCTTTTCTTAATCTCGCCGATATTGATTCCCAAGGGTGGCAAACTGTTAGTTCTGGTTATGTATGATAGTTCTTTTGTCAATCGTTCACTCGCATAGAGCTGCACGGACTTTTGTGATTCGGAGATACCAATTCACCATCTAATGAATACTATGCCATGTTTCTATATTACTTGCCCTTGTAATTACCACACCATGTATATATCAATTGTGTTTATTTCGATAAGATCGAGCCTTTTGACGGAAGATCTCTGAGTGTTGGTTACAAAATGCACTCGAAACATTGTTTCACGTGGAGTCGGCATTATTATCAGCAGCAACGACCACTTCTCGTATGCAGGAATAAGTATTCTCTGCAATAGAGATGGAATGGGCTTGAGAATAGTTAGTAGTCTCCCATGTTTGATTGCCAAGCTGCAGCCCTACGTCAATTTTATAGTCACAAATAGTCCGTACTACATCTTTATTACACTCATATTCGTAGGATGTCTCATAGAACGACAGCGAGCTAGTGTTAAATTGTTGTACTCCAATGATTGAAACAGTCTTGGCAGACGCGAAAGAAAGGTGCATCACGTGAACCGCGTTTTTCGGAGATAACGCCGCAAGAGCATTGTTACTTTATACCCAACATTGATTATTTTCATACTCAAGGCGATCTAAGAAAAGCTTCATCAGAGAAATACAGAAGGATTGACACACGCACCGTGTAAGACCGACTCAACGCGCAACATCCAGAATTGTACAACACACATCCGGCCCAACATCAAGCAACACCCACATCAAACCCAGCAACAATCTACAACGCAAACTATACCCATAACCACATCCCCCAATAACCCAAAACACCTATCGCAACTTCCACCATGTATGGTGAACTCGGCAACAAATTAGTCTGTCCAACCCGACCCCCAATCTTCTCTCCACCCCACCAAACAACCACCTCCACTAACAAACCAACTCAGGTCCAACACGCCAAACGCACCCAATCCCTCGCCCACCTGCCCCCCTACCAAACCGAACTCGTTCGCTCCGTCGCCCGCGAAGTTCGCGATCTCGACCGTGATGTCAACCACCTCCTAACCCCATTCTCCGGCTCCTTCGACCCATCCCAACAGCCCGCAATCGCCTGTGCCCTTCTAGTCGACCACCTCTGCATGCGCCGCAACAAGCGCTGTCTCCTCGCGTACCACCGCGTGCGCACCGAAAAGCTCGAAGAACTCTGCTGGACGGGCATCGACGTCCTCGAGCAGCAGGCACCCCCGGCCGCGGAGGACGGTACCCAGCCTGTTGCGAGCTCGCAGAGCGGGAATCATAGCTCGTTGAGTCCCGAAGAGGAAGAGTATTTTCGGCAGTATAGTGATTTGTTGGCGGCGTATAAGGGGCAGTGGACTGATGTTGATCTTACGGGGGCGTTGGAGCCGCCCAAGGATTTGTTTATTGATGTTCGGGTCCTTAAGGATGCGGGGGAGATTCAGACGGAGTATGGGTATGTTCTTTTTATTTCAACACCTTCTTTCTTGCTGTTCGGGAAGACAGGGGAACTAGTGGGAGGGTCCTTGGTGCTGACTTCTTTACAGGGTTATTAATTTGACGAAGAATAGTCAGTTGTATGTGCGGCAGGGGGATGTGGAGCGATTGATTGCGCAGGGGTTCTTGGAGCGGTTGAGTTGATGGTACGTTTGTTTTTGGTTGGAATGATTGATTTGCGAATGTTTTTATGTTCATGATACCCATGGAGAGTAAAAGTAGAGGAGTTAAAGGCAAATCTGAAAGAATTATAGTTTAAAAGAGACACGGGCTATTTCCACCTGGTTATAAAGCCGTGTTAGATAGTGTCAGCCCATGCAGAGGCATTAAGATGGAATGCCTCCAAAATCGCAGCCCTAGCAACCTCATCATCAACCGCCGCTTTTTTCCTTTCATCCATAAGCACGCCCAATTCCCTAATACGTCGGGCCACCTCTCCCCACTGAACCCTCTGACCACCATTCTCCTCTTTAGCCTCAATATCAGGAGCAACCAGCACATCCTTGAGCTTCCCGCCCTCCTTCCGAATGACCCCATCAACAATAACAGTATCAATGTCCCTGATCGAACTATGAAGAACAATGGCCGCAACCGGATCCCGATCCGCAGCAACCAGCAGACCGGGCGAAGTAGCATCATAAATAACAATATCCGCCTTCTTGCCCACCGCCAAGCTCCCAATTTCGTTCTCCATGTTGATGCATCGGGCGCCGTAAATCGTTCCTAGATTGAAGACGTCCCTTACGCTGCTCCCTACATTCTTCGCCCACTTGCTGTGCGCTTCGAACTCCTCGTGTCGTCTTGCCCGTGCCCACTGCAGCACGGTCGACATCTGAGTCGGGATATACGATGTACAGACACTGTGGCAGTCGATTCCCAGAGATGATATTTGTTGGTACTCAGGATAGAGGCAGACCGGGTTGCCGTGGCCCATTTGGAGCTCAGTGATGGGCGTGCTAGAGATCTTCACGCCTTTGTCGCGGATTAGTTGGGTATGTTCTGGTTTGGGGTTGGTGTTGTGTGATAATAGGATGTCGGGGCCTAGGAGGCCGTGAGAATCGAGGCAATTAGCCGTTGATGGGGCATCCGGGCCTGTATATGCATTTAGTATAATAGTCCGAAGCCAGGGAAAGCGTCATGCATGACATGGCGGAGTGGAGCTAGCCGAAGTACATACCTCCGAACGCGACCCCGTAAACTGAGTGGGAAGTGATGAGCTGCGTCCCGGCGCGACGAACTCGACCGTATACTTCCTTCAGAATTTCCCCGGGGAGATAGAGCATATCGAAGGCGAATCCCAGCCGGACTCGTCCAGATGGGCCAAGTGGGTTCATAGCTGCGAGTTGGTCAAATGTTTCCATGACCCATGGAGCGAGTGGATCTGTGGCCATTTCAAACTTGGGACTCCATTGAGCTACCCGGGCAGTTGGACAGTACCCGAAGATTGACCTGATTCCGGAGGAGATGGTTGCTCGGATAGCTTCTTTAGCTGCGATATGTCAGAACTATACAATACGTGCACGATCTTGTTATGCGATTAGTGGATGAAACTTACAATGATCCGGCGTAATGTTGATATGAGCATGGTCCACTACAGTCGTTGTTCCACTGTCAATACACTCCAGCGCACCAGCTAACTGACCCCAGAAGGTCTCATCGGCTGATACGAAAGAACTGACGAAATTGCCGGTGGGGAAGTAATCGAAGAGAGTGTGGTTTGGATGTGTGGCTTTCAGACAGGTCTGCCATACATGATGGTGAGTGTCGATAAACCCTGGCGAGACAATTTTGTCTGTGCAATCTATGATTGCTGTGTCGGACGATGGTGGTACAATGTTTTGGCCAATCTTAGTGATCTGCGAGTTCTCGATTAGAAGATCCTCTTTCGCCGCATGAACGACGTCATTCGCGTCGTGGAGAAGAAGTGTGGCGCTTTTTAGGAGGATTGAGGTGGCCATGCTGTATCGAATCCTATCCTATAGAGACTAAGTTTCTAATTTGGTATTGATGGTGGAATATAACTGAATACAAGATAGTGCGTCCATGAAGTATAAGAATGTCAGCTTGTTCGGCCTTCGGCTCTTCGGATCGGCCGTGGAGACCGTCTCATTACTCATACGACCTCCCGTCGGGGGCTCGAATGTGGAGATGAAGGCCCAGGCCATGAGACGCCACGTTTGTAGTACAGGGGAATGTCCATTTGATTTTCGCACATGATTTCGGCTGTGAGCTTGACTGCTTTCTGGAATGTTGCTCTTCAACGGCTGACCTCCGAGACCCACATTGCCCTAAGCAGGTGCCCTCAGATGCTGTTCAACAAAATCTTTCATAAAGAGTCCAAGATGGGACACACATTTGATAGCCACTGCATATCTACAGTGATTATGGACATTTAGCTAATATTAGGGCAGGCGCCTTAGCCTATGACGGCACTTCAGTAATATTGGTGCAATATAATGCGCCACCTCCAGCATCATGACACCCATAACGTACCAGTGTGTGGATGCGCTTATTAGTAGGTCTGTTGCATTGCCAGATTAAGGATCTTGCAGCACCCCATGCTTATAAAACACTTGGCTGACCAGTGATCGTTCGCTCACGTCTGTTCTACTTCGGGCAGACATGCCTTTGAGCCAGTCTTGAATTCAGCCATCGAGGGATTGTTGTCCTGAGTTGTGCCAAGGATTGGCTCAATCTTGCTACATGATAATCTATGGTAAATCTATCGGTGGCCGAAGGAGGATAACCGTGGTACTGCTGGCTAAAACTTGACGATGCTTAATCCGCTCATATTCCATTGAATTATCTGTCTTCAAGAAGCTCCTTTGCAGTTAGTCTATCCCTTTGATTGAAGTTTCATAATATTCAAGATAGACTCCTTTTCTTCACTTGGTATTTCTCGCTGGCTAGCTAGCGAAAAGGGTTTCAATTTTCAGGTTGCACATCATTCATGCTAAGTGACAGAATGTCTAAGGTCTCTTGATCAGCGAGGTCAACATCTGAAAGCGGGTACGTTCCAAAATAGATGTGTTATTTATAGAGGATCTGTAGTTCGTATTCATCGTAGCCACGGGGGAACTTTAGGCTTAAAGGTGAAGAAGCTATCACCATAGATTAAGGGGATTAACTGAAGGATAAATTAGTCGTTAGAGGTCTGCAAGCTGGACATCTGTGAAGTGTTGACCGTTTTTACTCTGATATAACGGTGCATAGTTCACTAAAACGTTATCTGTTTTGATATCTATGGAGAATTTCCTGTCAGAACTAGCACGTGCAGTCAGAAGCTTACTCGGAGCATAACCCTTACCTGTGTGGACATAGCCATCTTCATGTAGCACTTTCAATGCTTCAAGAATCCGCTTTGACATGTATTTGATTCCCTTCGAATGAGCTTCTGATATTTGAAGCAGGGGGTAGATTGCTTCGAGATGTTTCAAGACAATAGCAGGCGGGTCTGCTGGTCGGAACTATCTCATCAATTAAAAGACGCTACTGCTGAATCTTAGGCTGGAATTTCCGAAAGACATCCCCGGAAATGGCAGGCGGTTTTGATTACGACAGTTAGCTCGAATTTGTTACTATTATTAAGGAAAAGTATGTAAGCACATTCTTTGCGATTGTTTCGTGGTTTATGCGAGATTTGATACTAGCTTGAGCTCGATTCTCAACAAGTCGATGCATCACAACGTAATATGCTGCAGCTAAAAGTCTGGCTAGTGGTAAGCGAGTCATATTCATCATGTAATTGGTAGGATTTTGGTTACTCAACGGTTGAGCGTTAGAGAAGGTAAATCGGCAGATGCAGGAGGAGTCGTTAAACTGTTAGTCGGGTCTAAAGATGCACGACCAGCACGGACCCCTTGCGACAGCCTATCACATGCAAACAAAGTCCCCCCACGATGCCTGCATGTCTGAAGCTTAGACTTGGGGTCCAGAATCACAATTGATTGATATGAAATATGAATCTCCAGAGTCAAATGTTAATTTATGACAGCCAGTTATCACCAACCATTACCTAATGTTATATCAACCTGGAAGGATTCCCCATTGTACTATTCCGGATCAATCTAGTACGACGCTAAACCGCAACGAGTGGACCCGACGATAAGTTCCTCTCGTGATAAGACTTTTCTTAGTCAAAGCTCTGGCCGATAACAGGGAATCCAGTCATTTCCCCCTCCCCCATACTCTGCTGTACTGACCTCGCACAGCAGACTTCTTCTGGATGGCTGTCTTAATGTCTTCTTCTCCTTTTTTATTTACTTTTCTGCTTCTTCGGTAGTCCAAATAATGTCAATTGCTCCCGTGGCCTGATTGACACTTGCGTCATTCAGGATCACCTTTTTCTCCGCACCCAGTCTTTTGGTCCTCCCCGAGCGAAGGAAGAGTCAAAGGCTCCGGGACTTCCTGGTCCCTGTAAAAGAATCTGGTCATTCCAGCTGGCACTTACGCGATTCTGACGACCACGATGGGTGTCTTCCGTCCACGAGGCCGCAGTGACTCTCGCGTGTCTGGGCTACCTTTCCGCCGGTCTCCCTTTGTTGATGATGAGGCTCCAGATGCGATTGAGCCTCCTGTAGAACAGGCCAACAATGGTAGTCCTCCAAGAACACCTTTGGGGATCGAGTCCCTTGTATCTGGCGGGACAAGCCACAGGACGCCAAGTCGCTCCTTCTACCACCGATCATTCAACAGTACTGCAGGTGTGAAACAGGAACCTTCCCCGGAGACGCAATGGCTACCTCGAAGAGTGTTGTTTGACTGACTATTAAAGATCCCGCTCGTTATTCGTCTCAAGGTCTTCGAGAACAAACTGCTGAACTGGCTTCTTACGCGCTCTCCCTGAATGGAAGCTCACTGCCTCAAGAACGAAATACGCTGCCGCCGTCCCTCGATATCTTTCATCCGATCCAAGATACAGACCTCTCTTCATCACCCACAGACACTGTAGTCCCAGAACCTCTAGATACTGAGCCCCCCACTGGCCCTATCGCGGGCTCATCAGCCTTGACTGAGATGATCCGTAACCCTTCCGACTCCTCTGACGGTGTCAATGGCCGTGATAGTGCTCCAAAGCGGAATGGAGTTGGTGAAGGTGGTGCTTCCGTAAGAATCTCAGGCACGGCGTCCAGCATGCGTGAAGCTCCTTGTACCGAACAAACATCTTTACTGCCTAAGTCACCACATACAAAGCCCTTCCGAAGTTATGGGGT